GGATTTGGAATCGAGGTCCAGAGTTGAAGAACCCTGTTCTAGCTGATCCCAAGCATGTTTGATTGGGGAAAAAATGGGGGACCTGTCTGGCCACGAGAGGACCTCAACATGATGCAGGCAGCCCATAGACACACGTTGTCTCATTGAAAGACTGTCTTTCAATGTTGTCTCGGATGCAGGATGTCACTAACGTAGTGCTGTGCCAGAGTCCTGCACGGGTCCACTTTTGGAGACCTGCACCCACCCGCACCCGCACAGTACAGCACCACACCCTCCCGTGCACCCGTGATTATTTCAAAGTTAAATCCGAACCCACCCAGGCCCGTTAACATTCTGCCCGTTACAAGTAGTTAGTGTCCATCTTTAGCCCACCCAGAGCTATAGAGATTTACATCAACACAGTCAACCTTCACAGGCCACACTTATAAACAAGATTCTGTGGCTACAAACTGTGTTTAAATGAGGGTTCAGAGAGTCTTAATATTGTTCTTCCTTGAGTCTTCACTCGCTCTACACTACCATCTGTGGAGAGGCAGAGAGCCCAGGCAGAAAATAACCCGGGGGACTGCTTCACCTCTCTTTTACTTTGATCATAAACTGGCAGCCATCATCTAATGTTAATTTATCTAGCACATTTTTCAAAGCGCACTGTGACTTTTAACAGCGGGGAATTTTATTGCAGCAGGACTACAAAGCAGATCTTTTCCTGCTGTAGTTCGGGGAAAAATATCTTTGCTAAAAAGAAGAACAACAAGGGGAGAAAAAAACATGTGGGAAACAGAAGATTTAGACAGAAACTTCACAAAGAAAACACATCGAATTAAGCATACAACAAACAAATACAGTATCAATGGTCCTTATTACAGTTTGGAGCTCAAGACTGAGCAGGGACAAGAGTTACTGATCTCCACAAGGCACATGTTGCCCCAGAATACGAGGACACCACTTCCTGCCTCACTGGTGCTACAGTACCTGCTTTCCATGGCTTTCCTGGGAAGAGCAGACGAGGAAATAATGAGCAAGCCGAAAAACAGATTCTGCTGCTCACAGCAAGAGAACACTGAACTTCTTTTGTTCTCAGTGTTTCACCAGACTCCAGACTATTTAAGGTAATTTCATTTGAAACTTACTGTTGCAAGATCCATGATTCATTCTGGGATCAGCATCCCATGTTTGTGGATGTCAGACCAGCCATGATTACTGTTGCAACATTCACATCAATGAAGGAAGCTTGGAAATGTCAGTCAGATTAACCCCCATTAGACCTTGAATAATATGATAAATGGCCCTTTTTTGGACCTGAACGGTCTCTAGTTCACCTTTGGCTTTCTTGACAGTCTTGTGAAAAGTCATGTGACATTTTGCTGAATTTACCAGTTCTAATGCATGACTTCCTGGAGTACCAGAATAATCAGATAAGCAGTATATAGTCATCATTCTATTTTTTCAAGTATAAATTTACTTAAATTTAGGAATTTGGATCTATGTTCATTTCCATCATATGTTGTCGTTTTATAGTTTTGCCTCCTATGGTTTTACTGGCAAATTATAGTGCTTAAACTGAGTAAAATCATTTGGGAATGATTACAGTTGCAGGGGAACTGAAATCCTGTTAGAAACACCTGCAGTAGTTCACCTTTTGCTGTTCAGGCTCAAAGTTCTTTGGTTGAATTTGTTTAATCAGACCATGTTTTGTAGGTCTACGCCAGGACCAAGGGTGATGCGATAATGTCATTTTCTGTGCAGGATCTGCTGGACACTGTGAAAGGATCAAGGCTTTCCTTTCAGAAGATAAAATACCCATGATTTTTAAGGACTTGTCCTTACCATATGTTTCAGATGCCATAGTGTGAGTCACAGATGACGTGATGTTCTGAAATCCGCAAATTAGTGTAGCAGTTAACAGAACTCTCCCCCTGCCTGCTTACTTCCTACATGCAAAGGTGTTTAATGCCTCACAGTAGAACATCTAGCTTGAGGGTCGGCCTCTTCTTTTCCCCTCTGTAGCTGTGTAAGTGTATGGTCCCATCTTGGTGCGTTGCTGGATACATAACGAAATCTCTTTGTTCTTCCACCCCCCACCTAAGAGTATTTGATGTTCTAGGCTGTAAGAGATGAACATGGTTCTCCAAATGGCTGCCGATGGGAAAACTTCTCACAAGTCGACTTATTGTCTGCTGAGGCCTGGCATCCCACTCTTCTTGAAGGGCGGCCATCAGGTCATTGAGGTTCTGGGATACAGAGTTATGAAACTCTACACGGCGACTCAGCTGATTCCTTAGGGTTCCAAATGGGATTCAGGTCTGGAGAAAGTGCAGGCAACTCCATTCGAGGTACCCCAGGCTCCAGCAGCCGTTCCCTAATGATGCGACCTCAGTGATGGAGCATTGTTGTCCATGAAGATAAAATTAGGCCAGTGTTGTTCATGCAGGGGCATAATGACTGGATTCACGGTCATGTAAACGGTTTTGAATGGTCTGACGTGACACTTGGGTACCTCTCACCTCCATTAAATGTGCCTGGAGTTGAGTGGCATTCATCATCCGGTTCCACAGAACACTGTTCACAATGAAGCCGTCATCAGTGTGGGATGTGACCAAAGGACGTCCACTTCTATGCCTTTCTGTGACTCTTCCAGTCTCTCTGTATCTCTGTTGCAACCTGCTGATGACACTCTGTGACACTCTAAGCTCAGTGGCCAAGAACATCCTGTTTGAAGCCTCGCAATGGCGAGCTACTGTTGCTCAATTGTTAGGTGTCGTCTTGGTCTCATGATGCGAAAATGTGAACAGCATGATGAGAAGGACTGTTTAGATACCAATTCTGATTGAACATCTGTTGTGAATTTTGCCGTTAAGGTCCTTGTTAGAGAACAGCAAGTTGTGTAAAAAGTACTGGAACATTGAACAGTTGGACATTCAATTCAAAAGTTTAGGGAAGGTCACATTAAGTTCACCTGTAAAGGTTATAGTGCATTTTAGGTTCATCCTGAAATTTCACCCGAAACCTGAATATTCCTAACTTTTTGTGAGTAGTATATAACATACCAGCAAACATGCATATGGACGTGTTCAACTGATCCACAACCTGAGATCACTGACTTTTGCTACAACTGTGAGTCACACACAGTTCACTTTCTGAAAACCATGTATGTGCTATATTTTTTCACAATTTGCACTTGAGTAATAACTGAGTCACTACTAAGTTAACCAGAGCCATACTGTAAAGTGTTACTCAGCCTTGTTCAGCTTCTGACATTCTGCACCCCGCAGACCAATGGGAAGCCCAGCACTGCATGTTGGTGACAACAGTGACAGCTGCTGCCAGACGCTGTGACACTTTATAATACGGAGGTTGTGCGTCTCTGCTGCTGTTATATCAGGGCCTGTTATGGTCCCAAACTAAGTTTCAGGAACAATGTAACATAAGAAAAGGCCACAGACTTCGGTCTCTCAATCACAATATAATTTATTACTAATTCAAATTATCCACAACAAAACATTGATGGTTGCAAAACAAAAAAAAAGAAAGAAAACCCTACCCTTACTTCATAAGAAGTACAAACAACTTGCCTACCTCCCGACCAAGGTCCAGAAGCAAACAAATAGGTGAGTCTTCTGAAAACTAACTTACTATACTAACTAAACCTAAACCAAAAGTGCAAAAGAATGTAGCAACCCGTCAAAGATCAACATATCCATAAAGGTAACTTAACAATAAACAATACCAAAACTATTACAAAAAAAGGGTGCCGGCATGTAAAGCCAAGGTGAGGGACAGCCATCTTGGAACGAGGGTGGTCTTTATAGGCAGGAAAGCAGACGCCAGCCATTACATAATCCAATCATCAACGTCCAATCGCCACCTACAGGACAAATTCAAACACCAAAAACAGCTCTCAACCCCGTTGAGACTAAATAGTTTGGCATCCCCTGGTCTAGAACTAGCATGTTACCTAACACCTTTGAAGACCAGAAATCGAGTCTCCACTCTAACTCTGCTTCTTCTCCCCATGTCGTTGTGGGGTTTCCAAAAACATGCTAAGGTGACTTGGTATGAAGGCTGACCCATCTGTATGTGTGCCCTGCAATGGGTTGGTGCCCCATCCTGGGTTATTCCAGGTTATGTTCCAGACACCTGCAGTCTGGCAGGGGACAAGGGTGTTTGGAAGATGCGTGGATGGATGCATTCACTCCTTTCTGCGCTACTCGACAAAGAAATTTCCCCTCATGAAAATCAATAAAGTTCCATCTTACATCAATGCGGTATGAGAGAGACACTGTCTGCCCTGTGTATCTTTAGACATGGCAGTGTTAAAACTAAAGATTTTTCCCAGTTTGTCCACATACTTAATTTTAAGAATAAAAGTAGAAAAACCCCTATGAAGTTAATAGGAAGGAAGCTACATTGTATATTGAAATGAATTATGACACAGATCAGTAAAACCATTTGCTCACATACCTCATATTTAATTGCCGTTTATATAACTCTGCGGCGGCTTTCACTTAAACTCAGAATCCCCATAACTGACTGGTAGGGACTCTGCGTATCCCTTCCTGGAAGTCAGTGCGCTGGATTTGGGTATGGACATGTCCCTACCAATATTTGTGGGAGTACAGTACTTAATTGTGTGCTTGGGAAGGACGATGGTTCGGGCTGATCTGGTCCCTAAAGAAATCAAACTTCCGCTCTTCTGGGAAGTATGCCTTTATACTGTAGATTGAGGGGGTGTAAAAGAATCTCAATTTTGGAGAAGGAGACTGACGCAACTGGGCAGTACCGTTCTATCTGAGTAAGCAGCATGACTTTTTTAATTCCTTTCGTTTAATTAAATTATTTCAAACATTGGGGAAAGTTCAGAAACTAAAGCTCAAACATCGAATATAACATCCGCAAACTATCGGTGCAATGAACAGCACTTGTGAGCTGTCCCGGGCAGCAGGACTTCTACAGCCCATGTGGGACAGCTTCCTTCTGCATCGCCACATCTTACGGTCGCCCTTCTTGTCCGCCATCCTCGCCTTCTGCGTGCACTTGCTTTTCAGCGCACCTTTCCTATTCCTGGACGCGCTCGCCCGCCATGTTTCCGCTGTGCATCGGTACAGGATCTCATCCAGCGGCTCCGAGCCCGTGTGCCTCCGTCGCTGGCTGGACTGCTTCGGTCGAATTCTGCTGAGATACATCGGCATCGTCCTACCAGCCAGCGCGGTTCTGCAGCGCCTGCGGACCCCTTACTTTCCGCCAGCCGCCCCGTCCTGCGCTCAGATGCTGCTGGAGGTCGGGTTGTGTCTGCTCATCTTTGACACGCTTTTCTTCATTTGGCACGTCTTAATGCACCGGTAATGTATGCTCAGATTACAGAAAATTATTCAGCTGTGTATGTGCGATGAAGTGATATGTCTAGAAGTATTAAATTACCGTCGGAATATCGGTTGCCAACTTTGGCCAGCTGGGAGGAATGAGATTTTCAATTCAACACAAGTCTGCACACATGCACACGCATTTACATGCCTGTCACAGTTTAATTACCTTGTAAATAGTGTATAGGATTGGCAAACTGCCCCAACGCTTTTGATGTACCTAATTATACGTTTATAATTATATTCAAACGTGATGTTGAATAGCAGACAAGTATCACACACTGTGAAAATGTGCATATTTTGGAAATTGCAGAACATCTCTTATTTAAGTATACCTGATACGAGCTGGGACACTTTCATTTATTTTGGGTGGATAAAGACGATGAGGTCACTGTTAATAAGGGATCTTTATGTCCAGCTACATGGATATTCCTGCTTACACTAAAGATCCATGTAAGACCTTCATCAGGTGTTTTTGGTGAAATGTTTACTACCAAATTGAGCACAGACACAGGGGTTAAAGGAAGACAAGAAGGATTCGGCTTATGTGACTTATCAAAACAGTCTCCAGAAGAACAATGTCCAAACTGAGTCTTTTATTACAGAAGGAAATCCAGCTGGGAATGGCATGTTCTGATAAAATAGTAAGCTTCAAGGCAAAGCAACATTTGGTTTTGAGTCTGTTCTGAGTGGGCAGAACTTTAATATAATGAAGCACATATTTTTACAAAGTGCTTTTCAGTGCAGTTCAGTGTCCCGTTTCCAAATCACAACCAGTTTTAAAGGGAGGGTGGGAAAATTTGGGAGCTGGAAGAAGGAGTATGGTTCCTGAATTGCGTCCCAGTGTTAAATCTATGCTGGTTCAGTGTGTTTAGACTGTGTTTAGCAACAGTCTGTAATGAAGCATCACACAATTTCCCTCCATGTGAGCTGTTGCTCTGTGCTAGTCCATGGATAGATTGTGGATAGTCAAAGGGAATCTGAAAACAGTTTAGCTTACTATAGCTCCGATATAGCACCATAAGGAGGATTGCTTCAGGAGAAGTTGGTTTTCTTGTGTCTAAAAAAAGTAAGATGTGCTGTGGTGAGATTAGGGAGGGCGATCATTTGGGACTGCAGCCGGTGAATCCGTTTGCCAGGGAAGGTTATCCCAGCATGCTACTTCATCAGGCTGTATTGCTGGAAGTTCAACTCAGTACAACCAGCCAGCACTACGAAAAGTGATCAACTCAAGCCTTTCACTACGGAGCTGGATCATTACTAGTTGTTGGCTTGATAATGGAGGACGTTGTGTCTGTGAGAAAGACAGGCGTCTCTTGGAGTTTGCCTCAGTGGGACTTTGATGCTGCGAGTCTCTGGCTTTCAGGCTAAGGACTGACCCACCTGATCAGTGACAGGAGGTCTTCAGCCAGAAATCTTAGCCTGAAAACAGACACTGAATGTTAAATTGTTGTGGTTTTCCCCAGAAATGCCACTATGCTGGTGGTTCAACCTCCAATAGAAACTTTATTGTTATTTTATACTAAATACACCGCAGCACTCATAGTTTCATTGTGTATTTAGTGTACGATGACAATAAAGCTTCTATTCAGCTCTAATCCATGGATAATACTCCAGGTTGCGCAAAGTGTTATTAGACCAGCTGGAGCTAATGGCCCATACAGTGTAGAAGTAACGGGGGAAAGTATCAGACATTATCAACACATACTTCAGTGTTTGTCTGCTGCTCTGGATCGTTCATCTGCTACAATCCAGCGGAAGATGACAACCCCTAAGCGGCCACCCTCTCATAACTGCTGTGAATCACCCATCCCTGGGCAGAGGTTTCCACAGTTCCCTGTGAGCTTTGTCCAGCACACAATCTGACTGATGTTCAAGGCCATATTTAGCTAGATTGGATTTGCTGGTGGAACCATGAAATTATTGTGCCTGACTTGGAATGGGGTCACTTAGATGCTTGGTGTGGTTAGGCGTTTTTTTCCACGCGTACAGTAAACTCTCAGCCAAACTGTGGATCGATGGAGACTAACACCATCCAAAGGGATAATCAAACAAATATATGGAACAGCTGGGAGTGTCAGGGAGAGATCTGAGTGACAATAGCACAACGTCCACTACCAGCTCCTGGCAGTTCCTTGTCACTGTCACTTTTCCGTTAATGTGCAATTATAATTAAGCTTATGTTTGTGAAGCTGTGGATGTTTGTGCATGAGTGTGGGAGACAATGTTTGATCCTGTCGTTGGCAGCGTCCCCTGGCTGTACGTCTGGGTGCATCGGGACCATCACCTGAACAGGGACACGTTTGCTCTGGCTGCGCAGGACGCCAGCATATCAGAGCTGCTGTCCCTCAAAGCCCTGGCAGTCGTCACTGCTGCCGCAGTCGGCTGCCATCCTCTGAGCGAGATCGTCTTCTACCTTCTCAACATCTGGCTGGCTGTGGAGGACCACTGCGGATATGACCTGCCCTGGGCCCTTCACAGACTCCTGCCCGGCTTTGGGGGGGCACCTTTCCATTTGGCACATCACCAGAGGAACAGAGGGAACTATGCCCCTTATTTCAAACATTGGGATAAATTGTGCGGGACATTCCTGACGGAGGAGGTGGAGGACCAAGTAGGCAGGTAGATGCCTTCAGCCCTATTCATGTTTAACTTCATGGCTGTGCATCTCAATGTGAGCTGTGCTGTACGTGCAAGTCGATTAATCACTGGAGACTTAAAGGAATTTCTCTGAATCACTTACCATGAAAACTCCAGCGAGTGGGAAGCACTACAAATGAACAGATGCAGGGAGAATGTGATTGTTATGCAGAAGCAGACTTTAAACGGCTCACCACTGCATAAGATGTCACTGCCTAACAATCTTTGCAATCATGATTAATATAGTGGAGACTAAAAGTATATCAAATATCAGTCTTGAACAGCTATTTCCATAAAGCTTTGTTTTAGCTCTTGTGTTTCTTTAGGATAACCTGAGTGAAGCAACCACATAAACACATTTACATTCACTCTTTTTAATAGATTTATATATCTATATTTTTATTATTTAATTAAAATATATAGGTAACAAAGACTGAACCTTTTAGTTCAGTAAAAAGTCATTTTATGGCTTTTTGACATACATCTACCTATTCATCTTACAGCCATTTATCCAGTATGGGATTTGTAGAGCATTTATGTTCCTCCATCAGGCATGTAGCCACATAGTAGTATAGCAGGTATAGAGGGAGAGACCTTCCCCATCGGTAGGGTGACCTCCCCGCCCCAATTTAATTCTACGGGCTACGGGCCTGTCCTCCACATGTGAAGAACATCCACATACAAGCTGAGGCTTGCAGCTGTCCCTCATATCTAATCTGTAACATCTGCAGCGGTTTTACATGAGTCAGAGATGTGATGCAATTTTTTTTGTATCCATATGGTTTAGTTAAATTTAAATGCATTAAAATTCGAAAATTAACTTATAAATTACTTAATGTAATTTAGCAGACTTAATGTAACAGACTAGACCAGGGGTCACCAACATGGTGCCCGTGGGCACCAGGGTGCCCCCAAGGACCACATGAGTTGCCCGCGGACCTGTTCTAAAAATAGCACAACTCACCAGTGAGCAGCGTCTAAAATTTAATTTTATCGTGTTGCTATTCTTCTTTAATCACATTTGCATTTATATAGATTTGAAAATGACAATATCTAAAAAAAGCATTTAAAACATGTTTATCATACATGAAGTTTAGATAAGTTTAGGAGGGTGTTTCAAACTGGTAGCCCTTCGTATGGCTCAGTACCCGTGAAGTAGCCCTCAGTTTCAAAAAGGTTGGTGACCCCTGGACGGTAGCCTGCATAGTAAGAGAAGAATACACACAGAATGGATACCACAGACTGGGGTAATGTGAACTGAACCCACTGGCAAATTTGTTTACTGCACTATAATTATTAAATTATTAAATTGAAATAAACACACACATAAAATGTAATGGATCTGTATATCACATTCATTTGGCCAATCTTAAGAGAATATCTGACTTCCTTCTCTTAGGGAGGCCTAAGCACCTTTTTTTTTGAAGACCTAGTCAAAAATTTTTGGTTTTAATCTATTTTTAGAGAATATTTGTGGGATGATGGCAAAAACGTCAATGTGGAGTCACTGTAAAAACTTTATACCAAATAAAATTGCTTTAAAAAGGTGAAATTCTGAAGAAAACACCCTTTTTCAACTAGTCTGGCGTAATCTTACATTAGGACTATTTAATAGGAAATTCAAGTAACAGAACACTATTGTTCTGAATTTTACAATTAATTTGAGGAAACATATTAGTCAGGTAAACTTTCTCAAGTGTGACGGTGGTGAAACCACCACTCAGAGCCATTTTGTTCATATTGTGCAATAAAACCCTGTTACAGGAAATATCACAGAGAAGGACCTGTGGAAGTAAAATTGGACATTAGTAGGCCCGGGAGGGGAGGCATATTGGGTCTGTTATGTCTTAGGCCTTAGGCCAGAAGAGATTGTTTTGGATACTGTGTGACCTCGCTTTGTGATAGCTGCCTGCAGTTGGCTCCGCAGAAGCTCGGACCTTGGAGAGGCAGACAGTGGAGCAAAGGGGGGGAGAAACCACTTGCAGGA